CCGACCCCGGATAGGCGGAAGAAAATGGATGGATGGACAGTTGTGTATATATATATATATATATATTGTTTTACTTAATGTTTTTTTCCTTAGTAAGTTTCTATTTTCTTTTTATTTTGGTTTACAGGGAAGAATAAAATTGGTAAGAGTTTCTTGACTTTCTCCATGTTTCCCTGTAGATCCCAGATTTGACCCCCCAGCAGCTGTTCTACGTGTCTGTTTAGGATTTTTTTGGTAGTGTTTTGTTCTCTGCTTCGTTTCTCACCATCCATCACTGTCTTCTGAGCTGCCAGTTCAGAGTGAGGAAACAATAAACCTGACATGAAAGGCTAAAGCCATTGTCTGAATTGAAATCTAGTTTTAAATCGGTGGTCATTCATGTTACTTTCCCACCACGTTTTTGTTAGTATTTGTTTTCACATGTAGCTGTGTCGGTGAAAGAGACATCTCTCTTCCCTAGTTTAAATCAGCTTTAGCATTTAGACTCATGTTTCCTAAGTTGTGAAGAAAACAATCTAAGCCCTGCTTTTGTATTTCTAATTATTCCCTCAGGTCCTCCACCCATGAACGGTTCTGTAAACGATCAGCTGTCCTCGGCCGCCATCTTTGAACACGTCGATCGGATGTCTCGTGCCACGGATGCGAGCCGTAGACTCCCTAATAAAGTCCAGCTAATCGCCATGCAGCCCATGCCCATCCCACCGCTTCACAGCCCACCCATTGCTGACAAACTGTCAGACACAAACCAAATCAACAAAGAGGTTTACTTCTTTTTGTGTTTCAGACTCCAGTTTTTTCTTTTTTTCCAATACAAACACAACTAGGTTTTGCAAACGTCTTAGTCAATAACAATATCTTGTTTACTTGTTATTTTTCCAGCTCTATTGCCGCTGCAGCTTTTGCAATGTTGGATAAATTGCACTTCAATTTAAGTGAAGTCCTTACCTGATTGTTGGTGTGTTTTTCTAATAAGAATTGTATTTCTGTAGATCCAGGCAGCACTGAGGCACAAGTCAGAGATTGAGCACCATCGTAATAAAATTCGCCTTCGTGCCAAGAGGAAGGGCCACTATGATTTTCCTGCAATGGATGACGTGATTAGTGGCCTCGCTGATCCAAAAGACCAGGATCGCATCTACCAGAAAGCACAGAGTCAAATTGATAAGATCCTGGACCCGGACGCACAGGTGCCCCCTATCTTCATGGAATCCAAGAAAAGGTTAGAGATTGTCTTTATGAGTAGGAATTAATGGTTAGTAATGTTGCCTCACGGCAAAAAGGTCCTGGGTTCAACTCCCAAATTGAGCGAAGGATACAGTATCGTGGAGTTTGCCTGTTTTCTTTGTGTTTGCTTGGGTTTTCATTGGTTTCCTCCCACAGTTCCAAACATGCATGTTTAGGCTGCCTTCAGGCCCAGGCTTCCATWGAACAAAAATCCTTTGATCCCAGTGGGATTTGTCTGCTTAAATAAAAAATGAATAAAAACAAAATTGCACTGTAAAACTTCAGCTTTATTTGTCTTTTGTTTTTGTTTTTATCAGCGGTCGTGGGAGGCGCTCTCCGAAACAGAGACTGAGAGATCAGCTGAACGGAGGCATGATGGAAGCAGACAAAGACCACCTCATCAGTGAAGACAGCGACGCCGCTTACAAAAAGTACCCCGGAGTCAACAATGTGGCCTACGTGGTGAGCGATTCAGAAGCATTAAAACATATTATCCCTTTTCATATCGTGTAACTGCTTCCTGTCTGACCGTCCGCACGTTAATATGTTTTGTTGATTTCAGTCGGACCCTGACCAAGGCCCAGGATCCCCTCAGAGGAGCCCTTCCCCCACCGACGACGTCTTCCTGGGTCCTGCTTCCTCTCCTCCAGGCCATGCCCCTCCCCCACCCCCCTACATGCCTCCACAGCCCTCCATTGAGGAGGCGCGGCAACAGATGCACTCCCTGCTGGACGATGCCTTCGCCCTCGTGTCGCCCACCTCTCAGAGCAGCACAGCGGGGATCACTCTACCGGGGGTCAGCGGTCATCTGCAGGGCTCCAGCCCTCCAGGACATGGCCCCAAAGCATGGGGCCCCTCTTACCAACCTCTGGGCCCATTCCCATCTGTAAGTACCCAACAACTATTAGGTGCTTTTGACAGAGCAGGAACTGTTTAGTCCTTACTTCTCACAGCTTTCATGTTTGTCCTTAGAAGTTTCTGCAAGCTCAAGTTCCTACAGACTGTATCACGTCGAGAGATAAAACAATTATGGTCAATTCTTTGTGTGAAATCACTCAACGCACACGTTCTCAATATGTTTCCATTCATTCACAACAGAATGCCAATAGAATCCAGTTAAATTGTTTCCTCATTGCAAACTAATCAGTTAAGTWTTCCTCCATCTGTTCACCCATAGAGCTGTGACCGTATCACCTAAAGTACAATGTTTAAAGTGTCTGTGACATGTATATACTTCAAATACAAAAAGTCAAAGAAAACATCTTTATATTTAAGAAAGTCGGAATAACACACATGATTTAACCCATTTTGTTCCATAACGGACATATTTTCTTTTAAACTTGGCTCATCCAAAGTGAAACAGGAAGTGACATCAAAGGGGAACTCTTTAACAAAGAAAACTCTCYGGTCTTTGTTTATTAAAACCTTATTATTTGAACTCTGACGCTTCTTCATCTCTCTGWTAGAGACTCAAAATAATCTTAAGAAACATCAGATTCTTCTCTACAGTCTGGGTTGTTGGCTGTTGTAACAATGCTCTGTTCACATGCAGRCATTCCCCTTTGACATCACTTCCTGTTAYTTCACAGGCAAATATCTCAACAACTGTTCATCTCAACGACATGAAATTTCTTTTGCAATATTTTATCAGTGTCCTCTTTCTAAAAATGCATTCATATGCATTACGAAAAATTTGACATCACAGGCACTTTAAAACCTTAAAGGGATATACTCTGCATGGGTRTTCTGCTTTTCTTTTTTCAGTGAAAGCTGGTTTTAGAGCAAGGATCGTCCAAAAATAAAAAAAATATTTGGAAAGTTGTACACTGCTGTAATTAGTGGATTTTAAAAGTGAGAAACACCATGTTTGCAGATTCAACACAGTGCATTCAGTCTGATGTTAGCTTAGAAACTACAGCCAGACACACTAAAGGCTGTCTACAGCACAAATAAACTGCACTGAAATTTATGTAGAGGGTTAAAGAGCTTAGCTAGAATTAGATAAAGGCTTTTAGTGCCAGTAAGTGTTATATGAGTAGAAGCATGAGTCATTCAGAGCAAACAGGGTTTGTTAGAGGAGGAGGAAGTGAAAACTGACAAGCTGAGCCYGCCGTCAAACTGCTGCAATTGTGTATTTTTACTCTCTTACTTTATAGTAAAAATTATAATAAATATGCTTCTCAGTATAATGTTTAGAAGTCTGTTTTGTGGATTGTGTTTGCTCTTACARTCTAGTCTAGGATAAGAGACAGAAGATGGAGCTATAAAAGTGAAAAAAAAAA